GATGGTGATGTAGAAGTCCTGCGATTGGAAAAGGAGTGTTGGGAGCTTGTTGGTGGTGTGCAGAAACCTGTGAAGGTATGCTTTTCCTTATAGTGTTCATCCTCGCAAACTTTTTATTTTTATTCTTGGTATGAACCCATGCATTTTGGTTTTACTGATTTGTATATTTGAACATTATTTACAGGGTTCAAATTCCAAAAAGGGTTCAGGCTCCAAGAAAGAGTAAGTGATTCATCTGCTTTAGTAGTCGCTGTAATTTTAAAAATTATTTTTGTGATTATCACAATTCCTTTTCTTCTTTTGATAAGTTCTGGGGATTCTGTTTTATATGGTACTTAAAATTGAGGAATTGCATTCTTGAGCGTTTGAATTGTGTTGATGGTACTTCTCTTGTTAAATGCTCTGGATATCATACCTCAGGCTGCATAGTTCTTCTCCCCATTGATGTGGATGGGTAATGGGTTGGTAAATAATGATTATTTCTGCCTTTATTGTTCAGACTATTATCAAGTGTTGATGACTAGCTTAATTCTTTTCTAATCTTGATTTTTTGACGCCTTTCACGAAAGAACTGTTAACTTTGCATAATGTGGCTCCTTTTTAAGTTTCATGCATTATGATGCTACCTGAGCCTTGTGTATTAGCATCATAGACGAATTATGAGTAGCTTTAACCTCCCCGTCTTCATTTAATGACTGCAGATCTGGAGAGAGGAAAAAAAGAACTCTTGCTGCCTCCAGGCAAAAGAAGGAGACCGATAAGATGTGAGCTTGATTCTTTAACTTGATTGCACATAATTTTTTTGTGTATTTCCTATTTGCCTTATGCGTGTTGTTTTACTGACAGGTCTCCATTATCGCCAGTACGAGGGAAGAGAACTCCAAGGAAGAATTTGAAGTATGGACAAAAAGGTCCATCAAAATCTTCTTTGAGCAGAAGAAGCCTGCTTTTAGGCAAGCCGTTGATAACCTCAAAGTCCAAGGCGGACAATTTAAGCTCAGGTGAGGTTCTTGTGATTCTCTTTTTCTTTCGATTTTTTTATTTATTATTCTTGTTGGCATTCTAGTTAATTGTATCATTTGTTGCTTGGTATATTCTGTCATGCAAAGGTCAACAAATGAAAGGATAGAGGGTCTGGAAGTCATTTATGCACATGGAGGGGAGGGTATGCTTAGGTGTTTAAGAGGGTGGAGTCTATCAGGTGGCTGATGAGGGTGGGAAAGGAGGCAATAGTTCGGGTTTCAAAGTTATTTTCTGATGGAGGGGATAATTGGATATTTCCTCAGGTGTAAAGTAAAAAAGAATGAGGAACTATCAGAGTGATGGAATGTTGAGTGGGACATTTGATGATTTAAAATGCAGCAATGTCATCTCTTTCTTTAAAGAATGAACAATAACCTCACTTGGATCTCGAAGTTCCTTGAAACTTAAGAGTACTTCTCTAAGTTAATTTTTAAGCCAAAGTTATTACCCTTTTTTTAGCTCTTGTAAATTGACTGTAGAAAGTGGAAAATTTCTTTTCGTTGTGGTTTTTGGATATTACATTTTGAAGGAGTGGGATACTTTAAGTGGCAATACATCTTTCAAGATAGGGGATGGGAGTAGGGTTAGTTTTGAGGGGCATGACTGGTGTAGAGACAACATTTGAGATCCACTTTCTCAAACATCTACGAAGGTTCATGCCAAAAAGAGATGACTGTCCAACATCTATGGATATTATAAGAGGGGAACATCTTTTTGGCATTTCCCCTTCCAGAAGCAACCTTCTGGACTGGAAGTTTGAGGAATCCAAAGCCTCCTTGAAATGCCTTTAAACAAGGCATACTTGCGTAGATGTAGGCTATGTAGTTTACCTAACATGGCCGAAATATGCACTGCATACACTGTCGGAGTCTCAGTTGTATGTATATATTGTGTATAGGTATGTAACTTTAATGTATAGCTATGTAGTTTTAATATAAAGTACAAACTTCTTACACACTGTGTACATATTTTGTAAACCAGATGGCCTAATGGTATTGGGCTGCAATTTTCTTTTTTAAGAAAACCATCATTTTAAAAAAAAATGAATCTTGGAAATGGGAGAGATCTGTATTGGACAAAATTACAACTTAGAAGTATCTTTCTGGTCGTAGTTTTTTTGCTTATTTCCCTTTTGGGACAGCTGTTTAGTACATTGTAGCCTTCTTTTGAGATAACATTGGATGATAGGTTAAAATTTTTCAAGTAATTGAAAATGTTAGATGACGATCTAATGTTTTATTGGTAAGTTTTATACGAAGAAATAGTAGACCCGAGTCTAACCTTCTCCGGAGTGATCTTCCGAAGTCTATATTTGCTTAATTTTATTAGTAGGGACAAAAATTAGATGTGTCCTAAAAAGGAGACATTTTTTAGGGATCAGGCAACAATTTGTGCTCTTGCCACGATTATCCAGAATTAGGAGTGGAATAAAAAACACTCTTATTTTCAATCTAGAGTATGAAAAGAGAGAACTTCCATTATGTCTTAGGTGTTGCAATAGTTTCTTAAGGTAGAATAATTTTGACAGTCTCCCTGTTATGCTATTCATGATCTCCCCTAGCTTTCTAATCTGGCATTTGGCTTTACTAGGTGAATCAGAAAGTGAGCAGAAAGAAAGCACGCATGAGTTCAGCTTGTCTGAACATGAACTGTCTGACAAGGATGACATAGCATACTTTGATGGGAAACCCGGGGCTGATGCTGATAGATTGAGTGGTATGGAGGAGTCTGAAGAAGAAGAATGTCCCGTGGAAAATAAAGATGAGGATGAACTTGGCACCCCTCAGGATTCTCGTGGATCAGACAGGGAGATCTCTTCTTCACATGAGAAACCACATGCAGATGGTTCCACAGAGAAGTCAAATGATGATGCTGAAAGATCAGATTCTCATGGGAGTGTAAGAGATGATGCAGACAGTCATTCAACTGATCAAGGCGACTCTGGAAGTAGCTCGGCTGCCAAATCTGATGAAGAATTATCCGACGATGAGCTACTTGTAATGCCTATTCTTATGCACTATTTATTGGGACGTATATTTCTTGATGAATCATAATTTAGTAACAAATTATTGCCTTACGCAGAGCACGTGGAAACAACGAGCAGGGAAGTCGGCTGGAGGGAAGTAAACCAGCAGAAAGGCTATCATGTGAATGACTGATGATTTGTAGCGATGCAGCATCCTGGAGAGCAAGTAGCATCAATCCAAATACCGTCATCCTAGGAAGATGATACCATTAACAGTAACATTAATAAGTTTATGAAGTACAGTTTACCACATAGAAAATGGTAGGTCACAGGTTTATTAAAAGGTAGGGAGCAAGGACAAGAATGTGCATTCCCATAGTTTGTGTAGCTGCGGTCTAGAGGTAACTGATATGCATCAATAGCAGTTCTCTTAGGCATTGTACAGCTCTAGTGTAGTAAGTTGGCATTAACTTACCCGACGAACCGATCCTGTGTTGCAGCTCGGTTTTTGTTGTAGTCTTGTGTCTTCATTTTGTATATTTTGTTTGTTTAGATTAGTAACAGAAGTGCGTCTGTTGTAGTTCCTCCCTCCTTCATATGATCCGCGGATTCTTGTGAACTGTAGATTTGTAAGCATTTTGTGGTGTATGGAACCAGTAACATTAGCACCCTTTTCACTTCTTTTTTGCTTCTAATTCTCAATATTTGTGAATGAGGTGTTCTCTACTTGAACTATTAGATATTCACTTTTTCTATTTGAACTATGATCAACTATTTATCAAAAACACGCATCAATTATGAGTCGTGTTTCCACCATTATGTAGGAAAAGAGAAAATTGATGGTTAGATGTGTGTTTTGATAAACAGTTGATGATCGTCCGGCTGAGTTCATTACACAAAAATCGCTTCTTTTTACATAAGAATCATCTCACTTTTGCTTCAATTATCACTTTGGTGAATTTTATTAAATTATCAAAAAGTAATTTTTACGCAAAAACTGAACAACACGTGAGAAACACCTTATCCTTAATTGGCATGAAAAGATGAATGAGAATTAAGCAGTGTTCATCTATGTATTAAAGTAAGTTCTTTTATACATACAAAACTAATTATCGCTAATTACAAATTGGGACTGATCCAACTTGAAACAAAATACAAATTGCGTTTTTCTTAATGAATTCTAACTCTTACTGTCATTTTTTCCTTATTTTATGGGCGTATTTATTTTATTCATGAAGTATTGTATCTACGGCTTAAAAAGGTACTTCCTTCGTTCACTATTATTGTCATACTTTTCAATTTTAGAGTTGAATTATAAAAATTTTAACTAACATTTTAGGATATATTTAATATATAAAAAATTGCAACGTATAATACTTTTCGTATAATTTTTAGATATCTAAATTTTTTTCATTTAAAAAATCAAATTAATGAAATCTAATTTAAATTTAAAAAATAAGTCAACTGACTTTTAAAAAATGCAACATGACAAATTTAAGTATTTTCCTTCGTCCAAATTCAGCGATAAACTATTCTCTACATAATTACCCCTCATTTTCTCTACTTGCCAAAAAAAATTAATAAAATCTGATGTATAAAATAAAGTTAAAAGCAAAGGGAAACTCATTTATAATTTTAAAAACATATTAATTTAAAAGAAAAAGAATATCAAATTAATTATTTAAAAAAATTGGACATAAGTAGGAAAGCGCGTAAATAGAATAATGATAATTTGGTTTGTAATAAATAAAATCCAATAGCAAATCATTTTCACATAGTAATAATTAAAGTAAAATTTTGCCAAACTCTCAAATAAAGTTTAGTCCATTTTGCTTACTGGGTCAAGAGAAGAGAACAGAATAGAAGAAGAGTCAACATTTGCTAGCTCTAATTGAGACCGTGTAAGTTTTTTTCGTAGATTTTATATTTATATTAAAAAAATAAATAAATATATGTATAATAGCATATGAATCATGGCAGAAAATTAATTTAGAACTCAAATTTTTAATTTTGGCTTCGCCTCTTTTTGGTCAGCGAGTATTGTTGTTGTTCTTCTCAGTTGAGTCATTTTATTGTACCCTAAAAAAAGGGTTTTTTCTGCTTTAATGGAGTAGTAATTTTATTTGTTTTCATGTGCTAATTTGAATGTATATGTCAAATTCAGTCAATATGGGAAGCAAATTTGGACAGGTAAAAGTTATAGTTGTTCAAGGCAGGCGTTTGGTGATTCGGGACTTTAAGAGCAGTGATCCTTATGTCATTCTCAAACTGGGTAATCAGGTAACAAAAAGACTTAATTCTTCAAGAAAAGATTCAATTTTTAGGTTGAATCGATATAAAATTATCTATATTTGTTGTATCAGACTGCAAAAACAAAGGTCATAAATAGCTGCCTTAATCCTGTTTGGAATGAAGAATTTCATTTTTCCATTTCAGAACATGCTCAGGTTCTCAAATTGGTGAGTTTTGAACCCTCTCAAGCCTCAAATTCATTTACTTGACTAATCTTGTGTCTCATACTGTTTTGAACTACACTTGCATAATCTTGGATTATTTCTTAAAGAATGAAAATTGTTGGCATCATGTGTAAATGTTACAGCTTGTTAAGGTTGGATAAAGGTGTCCGTGAATTCGACATACTTAAGTGTGATGTTTGTATATCTGAGTGACAGAATTGTATAAACGGAAATATAGGAATCTAGCAGAGATAAAAATGGAGAAAGGAAAATGGTTATCTTGAGATATATCATGGAATGAATGGGTACATAGCATTCATTAAGAACCGAAAAATAGTTTTTATGATGAAGTAACCATTGGATCCTATATGTTTCACTTGGGGAAACAACCATAAATTATTAATAATGAACTAAAAGTCCAAGGATGATAATCCGATAATTGTTGATGCATGAGAGACCGCAAGCTTAATCTTTATACACCTGACCGGCAAAACCCCCAGAGAAATGGAGAAAGAAGCTAATGAAGAGAGCATAAAATGAAATAATCGAAAGAGGAAACCTAAATTGAAGTGAGTGGTTAGGAAGACTAAGAGAAAGCTCTTACATGGAAACAGCCCGTGGCAAATTTAGAGCCAAAAGATAGGGCACCAGCACCCGTGATATCTTCGTAAAATTAGATATTATACTGTGGCACCCGTACTACAACAAGTCTAAATCGTCCACATGGTTAAATGTTGAGCTTTTGACCTTGAGGATTAAGGATCAATTCCCACTTCAATACGTTTTACTTGGTGCACCCATGTTCGAAAAATCCTAGATTCGCCTCAGGAAACAACACTACTCGAAGGTCCATATTTTTCAATTTGGGCAAGATTTTAATACAATAAGTTGGTGGCTGTGTAGTTTTTCTCCAATGTACACGCTGCCTCTTGAGAATTTAATATCATGAGCTAGCAACTTCTACTTTCAAGTGAAGGAACGTTTTTGTCTAGTATCAAGGCATATGATAGCTTTCATGTTGAGAGAAGTGATATTTAAGCTTTCATTTTGCTGCTGAGGTATTATATGCGAGTAGCTCTGTGGACAAAAACTATATTTTGAAGAAATTCATAGCATGTAATTTGTGGATGTTGATCAAGGTGTATGTCTGGTTTAAGCAGCCATGTATATTATTCTTTATAGGAATTTGTCTTAGAACTGTCTATGCTCAAGAATTACACCACAATATGGAGTTATCAAGAAAATATAATGCTCTCAAGGGAGTTAATCATGCATTTGAATGCACAAATATAAAAAGCAATAAAAGATCTTTTTAGGACATAAATAAGTTTCATTCGCCTTCCTGCTTAAGGCACTAGTTCGGATGGGAACCCTGATCAGGCAGGTGCCTAGCTAACATAGCTATCCGTCGTTCTTTTTTGAGAGGTGGTCACAATCAGTTGGTTAGTTCTTCCATGTTAGTCCATGAGCATATTGAACTGTTTGAAAGATAATATAAAGGCAAATTCCTTAATGGGTGAAACATAAATGATAATAATGCAGTCACTTTGGAATAGGTAAAAATTATCTTACCCATTTTTTATGTAATTTTTTCACTTCCAAGTGGTGTGATAGTACAGATGATATGATGAAACTAAGCGGATGAAACAAAAAGGAAAACAATCAAACAGCGGGAGAGGGGTCTTTACAGGATATGGGGAGAAGAAAATATCAGACTGTACCTTGTAGCTTATTGTCCAAAGATTGGGAGTTAGAGTTCTCTAAGCTGATATTGTCACTCTTATGAAAGGGAAAAAAATCATAGATTTAGTTAAATAAAGAGACTACCCATCTCATTAACCACCGATGTGGTACTTTTTCATTCTTCAACATAATTTTGTTTTAATGTTATGATCAGATAAGTTGGTCAAACAGGTCTTTCAGTTATCCACTATATATTAGGAGGATTCTTGCTATGACTGAGCTTCAGTTGCTGCACTGTTCTTTGATCCTTCTTTGTAGTGAGCGGGCATGTGCGTGCACACAGTTTTTAATTTCTATGCTTCGGTGATGATATTTTACATGTATGTTGAAGATGAACTTCGATGTAAGAGAAGTACTGCTCCATGCCAAAAAGAAAAAGAAAACATTTTCACTAGGCTTTTTTGTCTTCAGGGTTGTATCTTTACTACCTGAAACGTGATCTTTTCAGTTCTTGAATAGCCATTTCAAAATTTTATACCTTTTAAGTTTTTTTTTAGCTAATGAAAATTCAATTGTGACAGCAAGTGTTTGACAAAGACCACTTCAAGGCCGATGACAAAATGGGAAATGCTCATCTCAGCCTTCAGCCTTTAGTTGCTTCTGCTAGATTGAGAAAGATTCTTGGGGTTACCGCTGAAGGAACAACACTGAGGAAGGTTATTCCAGAGAGTGATAACTGTCTAGCAGCGGATAGCAGTATTAATTGGGTGAATGGTGAGGTTGTTCAAGATGTCTGGTTGAGGCTTTGTGATGTGGATTCTGGGGATATAGAACTGAAGATCATATTGATCGATCTCCCTTCTGCAGCTCCCTCTAAGTAAGACGGAGATAGATCTGTTGAAGTTAGGATTGGTTGGTCCTTAGATTTACTTTCTTGTCGCAGGTAAAGGTTTAGCATGTGTGATATATCCAGTAGGAGAGCCAGCACTTAGTTGTATCTCAAATGTATTATATATATTCATAATGGTGTGTACTTGTGCTCCAGCTAAATCCTTGTTAGAACATTGCTTCTCCTAGTTCTTTTCAATAGCAGCATTGAGCTGATGGATTAACATACCATTGCTGTTCTGTATTTTTGGTGAAGCTCATCGTCATTTTGACTGCTATCTTTAAGAAATCGATGCATTAAAGCTGAGAAAAGTATTGTTACCTTGATGTCAACTATACACATTTTCAACTATATTCTGATTGATATGTATCCATGAATTGCGTAATTTATGGGCATTTTTTTATTTCCGAGTTACAAAATTCATATCTAAAAAAGAGAATAATATCCATTGCACCTCACATTTGTCATTTTTGTGGCCATTTCTCCCTCAACAGCCATTATTTGTATGGTTTTGCGTTTATTCAGCAAAAACCCCTCTTGGAAATGAACAACTTCACAAAGAGAAAAAATAAAAAAAAAATTGGTATATTCTGCCATTGCATTGTGTAATGCAATAATAATTTTAAAAAAAAATTAGACATATGAAACTATAGCCATCTGTGTCTTGTGTGATTTTCTTCTTTTTTCTTACCCCTGTATAACCTATTTATTCTTTATAATTTTCTACCAGGGGAAAAGAAGATGCAACTTTGAGTTTTTACAAACATTCATATATTTTTTACCTTTAAGTAATAAACACAAAGACACATCTTGATATATATCATTGAGATCATATGATAAAACATTAATTAACTAGCTTATAAACGCTATCTGTTGGATCCTGACTTTGAATAAGGCAAGTTACAAGCTTATTTGTCAGGTATGTACTAGTTAGAGGTGTTTGAAATCTACCTTCATTTTTATCATTTTTTATTATTATTATAAATGTAAAAATATGGAGTAATTATTTTTATCATAATCTCAAAGATAGGCAAATATGTTTATTGGTTCTACTTCATTTCATTATGAAATGTTTGGTTTGGAGTCTTCATGCTTATTCCATATTATTGAATTATCATATAGAAAATGTTAGAATAACAATATTAACGATAGAATGTTGCATTTGCCATCAAGCATGAAATATCTTAAGATAATATAAAATGTAATGGTATGAATATATTGATATAATTTATCCTCAATAATCTTTCATTACGTGCTTTACACGTAGATCCCATATTCAATTTGAAAACGTAAAAATAAAATTTTAAGAATTTAAATATAAAAATCACTTACAAAGAAATCAATTTACATGAAATAATACCAAAATTTGAATTCTAGCAACATCTCCAAACATCTTCGGGAGATGTGTATTCTTCATCTTACATCAATTAGAATAAAAACTAAAATATAAAAATTATCATGTATAAAATAGTATATGTCTTTATATCATTCTAATCCATACATAGTGATAAAGATCTATTGTCTTCCAAATATAAAAAGACAATGGTATTATTATTTTCTCCTGTACCTAGAAGATCTACAGTAAAGGAACCCAAAAAAGTAAAAATAGAAAAAGAGAAACGAAAAAAGAATAATTGAAGTAGCCTTTTGGGTGCGCGCAAACCTCTATTCCTGTGCAATAACTCACAAATCACATAGGAGAATAACTCACAAATCACATAAGAGAGATAACCCGCATTAGGCATATCAGGTGCGATAAGCTCGACCCAAAAGGCAAACCTCTTGCTTTGAACTTGAGACCTCCAACATGAAAGTCCCAAGCCTTAACCATTGAGCCACCCCGAAGGGTATAGGCTTAATCATAGTTGTGATCATTAATGTAGAATATATAGTTGATCTATTTTTATTATTTTTTAAAAAGGGTAAAATATTTATTTTTTTTAAAAAAAAAAAGAAGGTAAAATGGTAATCTAAATTTGACTGGACTTCTTCATACTTTCCGTAATATATATGATGATTATTGTTCGGTCAAATATATAAAATGATGTAAAGCTAAGTTTTTATTTTGAAAACTCTTTTCAATTGGGCCAACATATTTAATCCAATAATTTTCATGTGATTGAGTATTTCAATACATAGGTGTAAACCATAGTGAATTAACATGAACTGTAAAAAGAGAAGAGTACTGAGTAAGTAACATAAGATGATGGCATTGTGATGTAGGATTCAGCAGACAGAAGAATGTTAAGAAACCGTAAGCAAAATGGAGGTTCTCCAAGATACACACCTTCTCCAATGAGTAGTCCATCAGGTTCTCCGCGAATAATAGTAACTCGAACCATAGGTGGTTCTCCTACAAGTCGTCATGAGGTCGGAGAGATAGACACCAGATCACCTTTTCAATCTGTCAAAGCTGCTGTTACTTTGTTTGGTGAGACTGGCACTTCTGGTTGCTCCCCAAAAAAGGCTAATAATAAGCCTATCACCACATTTAAGAAATCAAAAACTACTGAAGAGGTATTCATTTTCGACTTCATTTAATATTGTATATATAGAGATACTGTATGTTAATGTGTAGAGAGGATGCAGGAGAAGGAGAGTCAGCTTAACTTGGCCCTGAGAGAAGTTGACAGCTTCAAACAACAGATAAGAAGCACTGAGACTACAAAAGGACATGCTCTCCGCGAACTCCAAAATGCTAAGACTACTTTGCAGGAGCTCACAACTCAGCTCCAAACATTATACAAATCAAAGAAAGCAGCTCTTCAGGAAACCAAAGCTGCGAATGAACGAGCAACACAACTGCAAGTTACTATTGCAGAGTCTATGGAATCTCTTAGAAAAGCTAAGGAAGAAGCCATATTCCACTCTCATCTACAGGAAACTAATAAGGGGATTCAAGTCTTACAAGAACAACTTAACAATGTTCGTGCCTCAGATCTTGATTCTTTTACCAAAACAACTTCACAGCTTCATCTTAGTAAGAACACATTTCAAGATATTGTCGCAGAAGAAAGGTCGTTAAGAAGCTTGGTGGATTCTCTTCAAGCAGAGTTAGATACCTTGAAGGGCCATAACTCTCAACTTAAAGTTAAGGCAGATGAAGCAGAAGCTCTTGCTGAGAACTTGCGGTTAAGTCTTGATAACAGCAAGCCAAAGGGAGAAGCAATCCAACAGTTTACTAGTGAGGCTGATCAGTTTCTAAAGGAGGCAGAGGAGATGAAGAAGAAGGTGGAATCACTCAAACAAGAAGCTGTCACAGCTCAAGTTGCAGCCAAGGAGGCAGAGGAAAGACTGAAACTTGCACTAAGAGAGGCTGAAGAGGCGAAAGCTGCAGAGACACTCGCAAGTGATCAGATTCACATAACAGAGGATGGAAAGATCAAATTAGCATTTGAGAAATACGAAGCTCTCAACAAAAAAGTCGAAGAAATCAGAAATGAGGCTGACACAAAAGTTGCCGCTGCCATGGCTCAAGTAGAAGACATCACTGCCAATGAAAAGGAACTTCTCATGAAAGTGGAGGCAGGTCTAAAAGAGAAACACGACATGGAAGTTGCAATCAAGGAAGCTTTGAAGGCGACAGAGATGGCTGAGGCAGCCAAAAAGGCCGTTGAGGGCCAATTGCGGAAAAAAGCATCAAGAAAACGAAGCTGGAGACTCTTCTAAGAGCAAAGGAAGATTTTTTTCTAAGAAGAAAAAAATCAACCTGGCTGCTCTCCCATATGAAAAATTTGTTATTTCTTTTTCCGTTTTATGCTGCCTGCATTTCTGTTACTTTCACCAATTTGTTTGCACTATGTATAAAATGTCTATAAAACTCTTTTTTGTTCCAATAATAATTAGTATAACAACTGCTGCATATTAATTAAAAAACAAACAAAAAACACATCTCCTCAAACCAGCTTTCAGGATTGTGCTGGACATTATTTATATCATAGTGTCAATACATAAAAGGGTCAGCATCAGTGATGGATAATTTGTATTATTAATACATGCGATGACTAGTAAGAGCTCAGGCAACATATGCCTCTTATGTACATCTAACATAACAATAATACATGTCAACCGCATCTCCCCTATACATACTTGGTATATTGAAAATACCCCTCGTGCAACTATAACATATAAAATTTGAGTGAGGCGTCTAATTAGGAGAAAACCTCTGCTATACTGCTCGAGCTATTAATACTGTACTTGCATGAGAATCCAGAATTGTCAGCGAGTGCATAATGACCCAAACTCTTATTATCTATGCTTGATGATCATTGATATTAAGATCATCTAGTGATTGAGAAAGTCCATTTTGCTTACCGAACTTTTGAAATTCTGATGCCAACGTCTGAACAAACTCAGTCCCCTCAGTGACAGCATCAGGAAAATCCACATGGACAGAGCCCTGTTTAACTGGCCGAACAGGTCTGCGAAGCAATGCCTGCTGCTTTATGTAATCATAAAGTTGCTGGTGGAATGGATGATCCAGGGAATAACAATTTTCACTTGAGCTGCCTGAGTATTTGGAAGATCCAGAACCTTCTCTCCGGCAAAAATGGGGCAGTGACGAATAGTCCATGATCTACACAAGTTAACAGATCAGACAGAGTTAGATCTCTCAACTCCGTAAACGAATAACACAATATTATTCCTTCACAAGGTAGTGGTACATTACTACATCCTCATAGAAGATAAAGGAAATGACAACCAAACAATTGTCAAGAACTGTTACCTTCAATAGATCATCCTGTCCACAACCTGATAAAACTTGAACCTTTTTTCGGGTTCTCTCCTGTAGAAGAGGTTTGACTACCTAATGAAATCATATGTTACAACAAATTAGAAAATTGAAATAATTGATAGAGTAACAAAAAGGAAAAGGAAAAGAGAATTGTATTGTATAAATTGTATAAATAAGAGACGAACCTTCCAACAGGCTGAAAAGATATAGGGAGCATTGACAATGTAGTATGCAACTACCTTCTCCGGGTAATTAAGGTCATCAATTGAGGAAATTATAGTCAATAGCTGAATGATAGCAATAACATTCAGTTAGTCTATTTTTATCCAAAGATCTACAGGAACAGTTCCAAGGTAATTCTCAAATAAAGATATACATCAGTCAATATGATTAAACATAGACAGAAGTCTTGCAATTACAAACTCTTCTGCAAAAGAAATATCTTTGTTCTTTGCACTAGCGAAGAGTGGAAAGGAAAAAAAACTACATGAAAGATCAGCAACCATCGAAATCTTCCCCAATTTAACAAATCAAATAATACTGTATTAACTGCCTATTGGTTGATGAAATGGGTTGTGGTCTCCTTGTACGGTATGGGGTAATCCTCTCCTCATTAGCTAACTTCTGAGATTGAATTAGACCAAAAGACCATTTCTTGACATGCTATCAAAGCCAGCCTCGTCGATCTATTTTGTTGTGTTTCTCAATATTGTGCTCTCATGCTATATCATGCACACTCTAGTTTTCTGATCCTAAGCGTGTCTGAATGAGGGAATGGGTTGTGGTCTCCTAATATGATCTTGGGTAAGCCTCCCCTCATTAGCTAGCTTACGGGATTGAGCTAGACCATAAGTCCATTACATCATATTTTGAAAGAACAAAACTAAACGAGATTAGAACTTTTGAGGGAATATACCTTTATTTGGTTTAGAGCTGAAAGTTTCAAGCCGGTCATATCTAAAACCTTCAGAGATTTGCTGATACGTTTCCCATACTTCTTACTTGCAGCAGGCTGTGACATATGAATCAACTTAGTAAAATTTAAGGGATTAAAGCGCGCACAGACATACACAAAGGAAAGTGATTTATGAATCCTTTTTACCAGAATTACACGATCGCGATATTCATTGAACTGAATGTGTGATTGCACATAATAATGGACCTGATATAAAGAACTCAAGTTACTATTTATATTAGCAGAACAATAGTCAAAATAATGAAAGTAATAATTAAAACATGGAAAACGGATGAGTTCAAACACTCAAACCTCCCTGCTAGGGATACGGCAAATAAGGGAAAAAAAGCTGAGAACTAAATAGCCAAAGGCAAGGGAAAATGTATAACAAGGTGCGCAAATTACGCGGAAGTTCCCAGTGCATGTCCATGATGTAACAGTCAGTCACACCAAATACTACAGAGTAAAGACATACCAGGGACCTGATTGAAAGATCAAAGATCTACTATTACTACTACCAATTAATATATGTAAGTTGGCCTTCTATTTACAATTTTACTTTCCCTCTTTTATGCTTCATCTCTAATCTCTGATAAGTAGAACTAGAGGTATCAAAAATGAGCTCAATTATAGGTAACTTGCTCAGAATTTGAAGGATTGGGCTCAACATAATTTCAATTGGGTTCAATCTCAATCCACTCAAGCCTTAACCCATTCTAAAAGAATCATCAATTGAGCCCAATTTAATCTTCAATTTCAACGTGCTTAATTTCAATCCGTTTTAAGACTCTATATATGCATTGATGTAATGTATGTTTTTATATTGAAGGTATGAGTTACTATCTATTATATCTTTTAGGAGTTACCTATCCATTTGTGATTTCTTCTTTTTAATTTTGTTGAGATGAAATTCAAATTGTGGTAATAAAAACTTAAATAACAATCTATTAAAATTATTGAGATTAAGCGAGTCAAATTGGGTGGGTTAAGACCCAACCCGTTTTGAGTCCAGAGTAAACTAGGGGTGGATCAAGACCCAACACCCAATTTAGATATCTCCAATTTCAACTCAACCCGCTCATTTGACACCCAACCAAAGTAAAGGAAAAATGTTCAAATACCAATCGATTATGAAACTGTATCAGGTTTAGCAATTTAATATCTATATGTATGCAAACTGTTTGCAAAAGAGTGTTGCTATTGGACTTGACAATAAATAGCATCGATCGGTCTTGATATGGATGGTTTTCTTGTTTTTTGTCTCTGAAACTAATCCAAGCAGTAGACTTCCATTATCCACAAATCAAACATCCATTACTTAACAACAAGTTCTTGAGTAAGTAAATGCACATGAAATATTATAGCCTTGAGGGAAGATGAGAATCTTAAACGACCCTTACCGATGCTTTATCATATGTGCTGAGTCCTGCACCAAAAGCGAATACTGGAAGGCCCTGAAAAAGAGGGAAACAACAGAGTTCTCAAAAAGTTATATTAAGTCCATATGAGCATCAATAGAAAAAAGATAGCTATGATGTGTGTTATAGTGACGACATTATTTCATGAATTGGATACCTCTTTCGTGTAACCTGGCATTCCTATTAGTTGAGAATCACGAATTGATCTGTAAAGCTCAGTAGGAATGATAGGTTTCTGAGACAACAATTACAAACGAATCAACATATAGTAATTTGCAAAGTAGCCAATTAGATACATACAATTTTCAACCATAGTAAGAATATACTAAGATAAAATATAATTAATAACATGAGCCTAGTGTCCACCAGAAACAATCTCTCAACCTCCTCAACATAGGGAGGGTTAATGTAAGCTTACATTATGATAAAATACAATTAATTACTTAAGCCGAGGGTGAGATCGGAGTCAGAATGTCAAAGAAGTTAACTCGTATAAAAGTCGAGGAGTGTCAATGTGTAATATATAGCTACGACAGTGTAATTTTCCATACTACTCACCGATAAAATATCATCTATCTCATTTTTGACTCTCCAATTCAAAGAATCAACCAACTGTAACATTCCCAAAAAAAAAAAAGAGCATCTTTTTAATATACAGTATCTATCAGCTTGCTAAAAAAGTTGAAAAAATCTTAAACATAGATTTTGACCATTTTATGAGCATTTGCAACATTTCCCTCTCTTGCTATTAGGAACCGCAGATATGTATCCCTTGTACAACCTTGATGAACATTCTGCTCAATAATTTGTAATTCAAAAAAAAAACTGGGTCAACATATTTTTAATTAAACCCAAAATTAAAAATATGGGTAGATTTGATAGAGCTAAAAAAAAATTAGTTAGAGAACCTGAAAAGTAGTTTTGAGTGATTCATCAACTGGTCAGAAAAATGAACGGGATTAGCAATTAGCCATTAGCATAGCAAAATTAAAAAGATGATGAAGTTTATATGTACCTTGTTCCATTAAAGCTTCAAACTGAGCGATGGATTCTTCTGAAATCACACACATGGCTACTACAGAAACAGAGAAGAGAGAGGACAGAGCGAATGAAGAAAAGTAAATAAAATATATCGCGAGGTCAAGATTCAACGAAGGTATGCTTTTACTTTTATTTACTTCCCTCACCCAACCGACACTTTAACGAATACAATATTCAACCAACGTGACTCTATTATACAAATACACCACTTGTATTATACATTTTTTATTTATTTTTTCTAATTTTAAATATAAATAAAAGAAAAAATCTAAAATGTTAAAGAAAAGGAGAAAAGTAATTATTATAATTTTTGGTTAAAGACATATTTGTTGGTCAAAAGAAAAAAAAAATTAAAAAAAAAGAAGAGAAAATTCGTGAATAATAAATTCTAGTAACGATGATAAAAGTATATAAAAAGTGATGTATTATAATAAGGATACGAAGATTTTTTAAATGTATTTTTATTTTATTCTTACAAAATTTATAGGTAAAAAAATAATTAAGGAAAGAAGAGAAGTTTCATCGATAATTATAATAAACTATGATGGTAATAAGGAGAGATAAATATAAAAAAAAATTAAAAAGAATAATAATAAATTACTCTTTTTTCATTCACTTTTAATTGTTATGTTGCGCTTTTTGAAAGTCATTTTAATTAATTTTTAAAGTTGAATTAGATTACATTATTTTGATATTTTAAGCAAAAAATGTAGATATTCAAAAAATTTACGAAATATACTACAAATTGAAATTTTCTGCATATCAATATGAGAAAAAAATATATTGTATATATTAGTCAAAGTTCGTATAATTTGATTTTAAAAAGAAAATTATGACAATTAAAAATGATAAAATAAAGTAATAGTGACGAGGACAGATGGGAAATAATCGATTGTAACAAAGGTGAGAATTTTTTTGTAAAATATATATCCTAGCATTCTTTTGCCATTGAGCTTTATATATTTTCTATGCCATTGAACTTTATATTTTTCAACATTGTAATGTCAATCTTCAATTACAACCTTAAAATAAGAATCAAAATTTAATTTTTCAATCCTCTCTTAAACTTTTTTTCGAGGGAAAGTGATATTTGCCGTCAAAATATATAATAATGTGGTATGTATTAAATATAAATTACAAATATATTACAAATTATTATGGTTGACTTTCTCTAAAAAGTGAGTGACATTTGCAATGTGTATTACAAATATTTATTCATGAATAAAATATGTGTAATATGTGTTCTATATATTGTCGTGGTTAGTATCATTAAAAGATTGAGTGATATGATATTTCTATTATAAAAATATTACAAGTATTCGTACATCAAAAATTTTTTATCTGTTTTTTAATTATTCAAATAATTTTGAATTCATTTAAATTTTTCGAAATAATTATATGTTTTGAAGTAACATATATCGAATTCGTAATAATGCTTGCTCTTGAATTTAAAATGTATTACAATTGTCATTTGTATTTAAATAATTACTTTAACACAATTTTAAAAAATCAGTTTGAGATTGTGAAATATAGACACAGAATTGTGATTGGGATGAAGATGGGGAAGAGGTGTAAATATAAAGACTTTCAAATTGTTGATGTTAATTTAATACAAAAATATTGCTATATTGGTTAATTTTTTCTTGTAATTTAAATGGTAAATATTTTTTTAACACTTTTAAATATATATATATATATATATATAAATATTGAAATAATTGTTAAAATATAACAGAAAGTGTTCATTTTGTTTTTGTTGGAGCATGTTTTTTTTTTGTTAGAACATGTTTTACATTGTTGAGGCCAGAAATACTTATTTTAACAAAAAAAAAAAACAATTGTTAAAAAGTTAGTGTTTAACAAATTAATAGAAGCACTTTTGAATGAAAGCAAAACTAGTTTTTTCTATTATTGGGAAAAAGCTAAAAATGTTTGTTAAAAAAAATAGAAACAAAAATACAAAATTATTTTTCTATAGTCTAAAATATTCCTTAATATATACATATTTACCGATATGTTTCTTATTAATTAATTAACATATCTCATAAGTTTGATTAAATTTATTTTAAGAATTTTATATTTTTATTTTCTAAAATAAATTTATATTTTATTTTATGTTTATATATTATTATTATTATTACATATTATTTTACAAAATTAGGAAAAAAGATGATAACCCTATTTTTGTAAGATCAGAGTAAGAGTGTGCTCCCAAAACAAAAGATATAATATACATTGAGAATGTTAAAATGTACATTTTTATTTAATAAAAATAATAGTTTAATTTGTTTTTTTATAATAGAATTTAAAATAGATTATATCTGTATAACAATCTTAATATTATAAGTAATTAATAATTATTTTTTTTGGTGATTTTACTCTCAAAAACACTTTTAGAAAAAGATTAGTCAAGCGCAATTTCTTTATGAAAAAACATTTTGCAAAAAAATTAGTAAAACACTAATTGTTTTTTTTTTCTAAAAAAACATTTTTGATAAATCATTTTTTAAAAAATATTTCTAAAAATAAATTATTTTTAGCAACAAAGTCAAACATGCTCTAACTTAATCATAATTAACATTCTTATCAAGTCTTCAAAATTGACTGTAATTGATAAATCAAGCGTAAAATTGACTTATTGACATTGAATTATGGAATAAAAGGTTGGTGAACTAATAATAATTTTATAATGAATGGCTTATTGTTGTGGGGGTAAATTTATTCTATTTCTTCATAAGATAAACCTGAATTTGTTAAGAGTTAACATGCGTACACTTTCAACTCAAGTGTATTAACATTATTATTTATATTGAACAAATTTTAGGAATAATTTAAATATGAATCATATTAGCGCTATACAACGACAGTTTTGATAGTTTGCTATGAAGCATTTGATTTGTATAAATAGCAGAGTATGATTTTCAGGCATATGATTTGTATAAAATTGCAATGACTGTATGTGTATATTAGTTAATATGTAACTACTTTGTGTATGTATCAATGCTTGTATTTGAATATTTGCATAAAATTTGAATTTGTTTAGATTGAATCAAATTAAAATATTTATATTTGTATATAAAATATCTCTCTCGCTTTATATAAATACAAATTATACATTATTATTTTTTTTATATAATTTGTATTTGTATAAAGCAAGAAAGACAAGAGAGAACTGTGCATGAAATTTGTATAACGATAACTGTATAGGACGAAAATATATCTATTTGTATTGTATATACAACTTTCTTTCTCTTGCTTTAGACAAACACAAATACAATTTATATATTCATATACAGTGAGAGAGGCGACCAAAGAGTGACGAGCGAGATTCAGAAAAAAAAAAACGAATGACAAAGTGTTTGCTGCAAATTAGAACTAAATGATACTATATCTATAACACTATTTGAATTCCATAATATATAATTATATATTATTAGTCCTAAGGCCGCAAACCAAAACTTAAAAACCTATAAACTATTACATTACTAATTATATATTATTAGTCCTAAGGCCGCAAACCAAAACTTAAAAACCTATAAACTAGGGATAATGCACAAGTACCCCTCAACCTATGTCCAAAATTCCAGAGACACACTTATACTATATTAAGGTCCTATTACCCCCTGAACTTATTTTATAAGTAATTTTCTACCCCTTTTTTGCCTACGTGGCACTAGTTTGAAAAAAAAAGTCAACCATCGTTGAACCCACAAGATAGTGCCACGTAGGCCGAAAAGGGGTAAAAAATTATTAATAAAATAAGTTCAGAGGGGTAATAGGACCTTAGTATAGTATAAGTGTGTCTCTGGGATTTCGGGCTTGAGGGGGTATTTGGGCATTATCCCTATAAACTATTACATTACTAGTTCGATTTTTTTAAGAAAAACATATTATATGACTATCCATCTATACCATTTTTAATATATATATATATATATATATATATATATATTATAATTTAACTTTATTTAAAATAAGAAAAATAAGTTATATATCATTCGATAATCGTCTTGTGCTAATTCCTAATTGAATCAATCAATATTTTATAAGCTAATTAGTGTATAAGTAAATTTAAAATCAATATCCGTTAAGCCAAATTATCCATCCAAATCTTATTATACACTAAAAACTACCTCAATCAAGTAAAATATACCAACAAATATAATTTCTTATACATTTAAATAAGGTGAAACATATTTAGAATCATGATTAATTTTTGTCTATTTAAAAAGTGAAGCAATCTAACGCCCATCTCCTTCGGCACTGACTGTCTTTTCCCTCCAATTGATTGTCACGTCTGCGGCGGTTTTCCTAAGACTAGGGTAAAGGGAGGACGATATTAATATCACAAAACTCGACAGTGAATGAGTTTACATATGCCCAGAGATATCTTCGTCGGGATTGCTCGAAATTGAAGGTGTTCTTAGGGTTTCGGTTGAACATTTGTAAGTCCCTTTGCACCGAATTAGAAAATAGGCTTTGAAGTAGAGTTATTACTTCGTTTGCTTTCCAGTATTTCCTTTTCAATGTTGGTATGACCTTGGTGAATGGACATGTCTGCTGGTTTAATGATGCATTGATTTTATTTCTAGATGTTTGTAAGCATGCACATTCTAGAATTTCTTATTTGTTTGTTTTGCCTGTTTAATTTTTATAATCATCACTCATGGACGGAATTATGATTAGCTTAAATTAATTTTGGAGTATTTAATTCTTGGAATATTTGTATATCTTTGGTCTGTTATGCATTTATGTGTATTAGATTTTACTGCCACATTATTTTAGTTGTTGCTACTCCATTAATATAACTAAAAATTAAGCCTTTTAATGTATTTTGCATTTCAGCTCAAGCTGGGCATCTTGGTGGAAGCAGTCATCATAGGATCCTCGAGGGCTGAATCCGTGTGGTAAAAGTAGAGTGGTCTGTGAGTGGAGACAGTTATGGCTTTGGTAGAAGTTGGTAAAGAAGAGTCTCTAGTGGGTCTAGATAAGGATGAGGAAGTTGAATTTGTCTGGGGTAGAAAGAGAGGTATTGGTGGTAAGAGAAAGGAGGTGCAGTTTTATGAATCTTTTATCTATGATGGTGTGGAGTATACTTTATATGACTGTGTATACATGCACAAAGAAGGTGAACATCCTTACATTGGTAAGATCATAAAGATATGGGAA